TTGCCCGTTTGGCTTTTCTCAATTGATTCTCTACAGAATTTATATAACAATTATGACATAAGTGGTTATCTTTTTTTCCAATTTGTCTTTATTAAACCACTAGCGTTGGCTTCTTCCCATTTTTTTCCCGTTAACAAACGAAATTTGCGTGATTTAGTAGTTCCGCATTCCATACATTCCTTACGTTTAGGCATATTTTTGTTAAGTAAGTTGCAATATAATATCAACTGAATCCCTTTGAATCCCCCGATTTTGTTAAAATATAGAGCGAAAGCTTCAAGTTTGCTTAGTCGTTTAGTCGCGTTTCATAAAAAAGATAGATTACCCGAAGCCCCTAAAAAATTATTATAAAACATACAAAAAATTTTTCGCAAATTTGATTGGCCTGGGCTTTTTAATAGAAGTATTGTAAAACGTATAAAAAAAAATAGTGTAACACTCGGGTGACTCGGATAATTATTTCTTAATTTGGGACGGTCTCCCCTGGACATTGCTTATTATATCATAAGGTAGAGCTCTGCACGGCCCGCAAAATAAAATTTACTATATTTTTTAAAAGTTTGGCCCGCAATTTACTATGTTTTTGAGACACCAGGCCCGCAATTTTTAAAATTTTCAATTTTCGACCCGGCCCGTGCAGGCCTCTATCATGAGGTTGTTGGCTTGTCTCAAATAGCTTGGAAATGAAATGCTTTATGTCATAACAGATTATAAATGATCTCGAAAATATGATTTCGGTTTAAATTGAATTAATAGAAATAATTTATTAGCACATAAATTATAATAAATAAATAAACGAGAAAAACAGTTATTTAATATAAAATTTATATCACATTATATGAATGCGTGAAAGTGAAAACCTGTAACCAATCATAGTAAATCATTAAATAAATTTCTAGGTTTTCACCCTCACGCACACATATAATATATAACCAATATATAACCCGACTTTCTAGAAATTTCGGGTTTAAATAACTAATCAATGCAATAAAACAAATTAAGGGATATAAACTAATTCGGTTAATATTCTAAAAAAAAAAGAAATAATTAAACGTAAAAGAATAGTGTCGTAAAAAAAGTCACAAAGATAACAAACAGTCCTAATGAAATACAAATGCCAATGTACAAATACTATCGATCACTTTTCTATACCGAATATTCTATACAGAAAGGTACAACGATCTAACTTGAACAAAATTCTCGGGACAGCCTTTTAGTCAATTGAGACAATCGTATATTGAAATAGCCAATGGGAGCTTTAAACACAATTTTTTTCAATCCATTTTAAACATACTCATGCTTGAAGCTGATGGGTGTGGTTTTAAATAATGTAAGAGCCAAAAAATAGAATGATTGATAAGTGTAAAAATAACATTCTTACCTGAATATTTCTGACCGAAATCGATAATACCACTATTAGCTGAATATTTCGGATCAAAATCGATAATGCCACTTGTATCAGAGACTTTTTTGTATAGACATATAATAAAAATATTTATAATAAATAATGTAAAAGCTAAGAAATAGAATGATTAATAAATGTAAAATAACATTATTACCTGAATATTTCTGACCAAAGTCGATAATACCACTTGCACCAGAAACTTTTTTGTGTAGTTCTATAATATTTATAACATAAAATAATGAAATGGTTGATCAAAAATTTTGAATATTTCATTTTTAAGTCAAATATTGCATGTTGTGAGGTACAGTAATACTGCTGTTTTCTTACTATGTGCATCATAAACTTTAACAGAAAAATAATTTGATAAATGAAAATAACCTGAGTTATTAAACTTAAAATCAAAAACTTGGCTCTGATAAGAAGTTTCTTGTTGCAAGTCTGTATAAAGTGTTTAAACAATAGAATAATCGATATTAAAATAATACTCATATGAATTTTAATTCACAAAATTGCATACAAATTACTTGTATTAAAAGCCATTATAGTTCGTTTTTCCTCATATTCAATAGCTAATTTCTTATTTTCAAGAATTTCACAATATATTTCTTTAACAATATTATAAACTTCTTCAATGGTAGGTCTTATTGAAGGATCGGCATCCCAACATCTATAGATAAGATCTTGCATTTTAATCGGGATTTCGGGCAACATTGGTGGCCTCAAATTACACAAAACAATTTCAATTGCTAATTGTTCTTCATAAGGCCTATCACAGAATGGAGGATATCCTGCAAAAATTTCCCACATTAAAATTCCCAAACTATAAATATCCGTTGCTTTCGAATACTTTTTACTTTGAAATAATTCGGGTGCCATGTACGGAATAATTCCAAACACTTCATCTGCATTATTACCTTCTACAGGGCCACATAGTCCTAAGTCAGTAAGCAAGCATCTATTTGTATATATAAGGATATTGCCGCTATGTAAATCACAATGAATTAGATTTTGTTGATGAACGTCCAGTAAAACAAAACAAATACGCCAAATGGCAAACACTCTATCTTCTAAACTTAGAATCATGTGATTGTTTTTTAAATAATCTCGTAAATTTCCATCTCCAAAATAATTCATAACTATAGCAAAATTGCAGTTGCCAGGGATTTCAATTTTAGTTATTCCATATGCATTAACAATATCACCTGATCTAATTTGAATAAATCTTTTTGCCTAAAAAGAAAGATAGAAATAAGTATATACTATAATAATATATGTAAATATAATAAGATATAGTTAATATAAACCTCTTCAAAAAACTTTTCGGTAGGTTCTGTTGAATTATTTAAAGATTTAAGCGCAACCTTCTGAGGACCTTGATAAACAAATTTTTGCTCACTTTCATTAAAATCTAATATCGACCCTCTTTTCCATGTCGCAGTGTATATAGTAGCAAAGCCACCCTTTGCAAAAGGTTTTAGATCTTCGAATTGATCAAATGGGATCCATTCCATAATGTGTAAAGGGAGTCCTGAACTTGATTGACATTCACATATAAATTTATCAATAATATCACATCCAGATGTCCAAGTTCCAAAAAAGCTTTTTAAATATTTTATAATGCAATTTTCGCAGTAACGAGTTGAATATCTTGTTAAATTGCAATAATTGCATTCTATTGGCTTGCCTCTTTTAAATAATTCTTTTTCTCTTTCAGTGTTTCTTGAAGCTCTGTCTTGACAAGATTGCTTTTCTTCTGAGGTGAGATCCGAATTTTCAGATAATAGCTTATTATAAATTTCTATTCTATCTTCATAATTTGAGGAATATAATTCAGCATAGTATATAAGTTTAAAATAAGTTTGACTTACAAAGCTTTTTCTATCTTTCCCATCTTTTCCAGTATCTTGCATTTTTTTTTTTTTTTAAGCAGAGTCTTTGAACTAGAATTTCTCCTTTAAAATTTGCTCGAATGAATTTTTATTAATCATAAATTAGGAAATGCACTAAAGATTTGTAAATATATCGATTAATACCAAAGCCAACGAGCTTATTTTACCCTTTACCACTTTGTCGCGCGTAATGATAGATTAACAGTAAATTAATACTAGAAATCCGAAGAATAAAGTTATTAATGTTTTTACAACTTTTACTATAAAGTTTTATTCAAAATAAAGTAAAATAAAAATTCAAGTTTTCTGTGAATATTTGTGTTAGCACTTTTTATTATATATACTTTCTATAGTACATATGTACGTACTGTATACAAATTACAGTATATCAATACAGAAATTTTTATTTGTTCTTTCCCATATCGGCAGATTCGCGGAATTGGGATTAAATGAGTATATAAAAATAATTTAAGGAGTAATTAACCATAACAATCCAAAATTTTTGTGTTGTTATTGTTAATTATCCCTTAAATTATACATAAACGTAATTAAAATGTAATAAAACTTACACTAAATAGAAATCGTATATTTTTTAATCACTGAAATTGAGGATGCATTTTACAAACCCAATTCCTGATATGCATCTAATATTACGTTTTTTATAAAATTTCCAAATTAGGTAATTTGTCAGTATTTGTAGTCGATACAAATTTATCGACTAGACCAATGCTGTCCTCAATGTGTTTACCAAACGATCTGATCATCACTTAGGTCAAAAAACATGGAGCTACCACACCAATTTTTTTCATAGAGCTTCTCTGATTGGCTGAAATTTAAAGTTTTAACAATTCGTTCTTCGATTAACCGCATTAACCACTCAATTAATCGTAATAATTTGAGCAACATCTCGATCACTAGCTAATCACATTGAGAGAGCTGCTTGAGAACACCCTAAGTCGATATTTAAAAATCGGTTTAGCCGGCTAAGTTGTAGTCGATTATCCTAATTGGTTAATTAAAATCACGTGATTTAAAATAGATATGATTGGTCAATTACTCATCTATCATTGAATCTGGTACGTACATACGTACCAGTATGTACTAGCGTTTGTAGTCGATCATTATTTATCGACTTGACTAAGTCGATATTTAAACTTGGCTTTGCCAGCTAAGTCGAAGTTGATCATCTTTAACTTTTGAAAATTTTGTTTCGTATAATTTCTTTTCGGAATTTTTTGGGAATAAGGTGCAGTAAACTACCAAATCGGCCTAGATTTGATTAATTACTATAATTTTTAAGATAGTCAAACATAAAATCGACTAAGCCGATTTTTTGAAAAATCGGCTGACTAACAGGAGCGACCATTCAAATCCGATATGGTTACACAATTGAATAATTTTTACAATACTCCTTTTAAAAGCTCGGATATCTTAATTTTCTATGAAACGAGAGTAATTTAACAGATGAACTAATGTTTTTGCTTCGCTCTATAACATATTCTTTGAATCACGTGAATCTCACAACTTTGTTTTGTAATCTGATTGGCCAATTTGATAAAACTCGAGATATGATTGGTTGACAATCACGTGTAATTGTATAGGAATCATCTACGAATTTGAACGGTCGCTCCCATTCGACTGACTAAGCCGGCTAAGCCGACTACGAACATTAGAGCATGATTAAGTATCCATTTGATTGGTTGTCGATCCTTGAATTTTTATTGGCTGATTAGGGTAAAAATCCTATATGAAAATACAATCGGTTATAAGAAAAATTACCAACGAATCTGATTAGGCCACGCAAAGTTAATTTTTCGTTTTGCATAACCTGGTGTTTCAAAATTCCGGTCGGCGGGTCGGATTTTTTT